TAGTGAAATTCTTCTACCGTTACCCGTGGTTTTTACCCTAATTATTTAGGGGTTTTTCACATAAATTTTGTGTCTATTTTATCTTCATTTTTATTTTTTCAAATTATTAGTTACGATTTTGCTCTACCCGATAGCCGTCTTCCGCAACAATTGGTATCAGAGCCATATTAGAGTGTGTAATATATGTTTATTGTCTTTGTGGTTGTCACCAAAAGGTGGATCATCCAATATAAGAAAGTAAGAAGGTATTACCCATTCTTTGAAGGTTCAAGAGAACTATTCACGATAATGAAATAGTGAGAGCTATCAGTAAAAGAAGCTATGGCAACAAAATTTGATATTGAAAAATTCAATGGGAGAAATTTCTCATTGTGAAAATTGAAAATGAAGGTCATCCTGAGGAAAGACGATTGTCTAGCAGCTATTAGTGAAAGACCGATAGATTTCATAGATGACAACAAATGGATCGAGATGGACGGGAATGCTATGGCAAACTTTCATCTAGCATTAGCAGATGAAGTATTGTCAAGCATCTAGGAGAAAAATACAGCTAAGGAGATATGAGATCTTCTCACCAAACTGTATGAGGCCACATCGCTGCACAATAAAATTTTCCTTAAGAGAAAATTGTACACACTCCGGATGCCAGAATCTACTTCAATGACAGAGCACTCAAATACACTGAACACTTTATTTTCTCAGCTTACAACCTTAAGCTGTAAAATAGGAGAACAAGAACGTGTTGAACTTCTACTTCAAAGTCTACCGGATTCGTATGATCAACTCATCATCAACTTGACAAACAGTAATGTCATCAATCTAGTCTTCGATGACGTTGCAGCCGTTGTTTTACAAAAAGAAAATCAGCGCAAGAACAAGGAAGACAGACAAGTAAATCTTCAACAAGCATAAGCGTTGACAACGATGAGAGGGAGATCAACAGAACGTGGTCAAAGCAACAGTCACAAACATGGTATATCGAAGTTAAGAAGCAAGAAGAATTTAAAGTGCTACAACTGTGAAAAGAAGGGTCACTTGAAGAAGGATTGTTGGAGTCTAAATAAAACTCCAATCCACAAGGAAAAAACCGCAAACACTTCATATGATGGAGATGCTCTATGCTGTGAAGCGTCAACCACCGTGGAAGGCAGAAAAAGATTTGCAGATATATGGCTCATTGATTCATGAGCGACATATCACATGACCTCAAGATGCATGATCATACCTTAGAGATCGTTGGTGTGGGAACCATCAAATTAAAGATGCATGACAGAACAATTAAAGTTGTTCGAGATGTGCAGCACGTGAAAGGCATGAAGAAAAATTTATTATCATACGGATTGTTGGATAATAATGCAAGTAAGATTGAAACACGAAAATGAATCATAAAGGTGTTCCGTGGAGCGCTTGTGGTGCTTAAAGGCGAAAAGATAACAGCAGAGCGGATGAACAAAACATTGTTAGAAAGAACAAGAGCAATGTTGAGGGATGCATGCCTAAAAAAATCATTTTGGGCAAAAGTAGTCAATACCGTCTGTTATTTGGTGAATCGAGCTCCATCAACTGCAATAGAGTTGAAGACACCAATCGAGATGTGGACTGGTAAACCAGCTGATTATTAAAACCTCCATGTATTTTGAAGTATTGTATACGTGATATACAACTCCCCAGAAATTTCAAAGCTGGATCCAAAATCCAGGAAATGCAAATTCTTGGGGTATGATGATGGTGTAAAGGGGTATCGCTTGTGGGATTCCACTGCCCGTAAAGTGATCATCAGCAGGGATGCTTTCTTTGTAGAAGATAAACTACAAAGAAAAGAAGAAGATGGTAGCGCTGAAAAGTCAGAGACTATACAGATACATGTGGAAAAGAAGTTTGAACAAGGAGATTTTTCTGAAGCAGAACCAGCACATGATGAACAAGAACCAGAGAATTCTGAAGCTCCAATAATTCATTAATCAGATCGTGTGAGAAGATATCTCAATTGGCACTCAGATTATGTTATAGAAGGTAATATTGCATACTGCCTTTTAACAGAGGACGGTGAGCCATCAATATATCAGGAGGCAATAAATAGCTCAGATGCTTCACTATGGATGATGGCGATGCAAGAGGAAATTGAAGCCCTTCATAAAAATAATACATGGGACCTTGTTCCACTACCGCAAGGAAGGAAGCCAATTGGTAACAAATGGGTCTTTAAAATCAAGCAAAATGGTGACGATCAAGTGGAGAGGTATCGTGCAAGACTGGTGGTCAAAGGATATGCTCAAAAAGAAGGTACTGATTTCAATGAAATTTTTTCTCCTGTGATTTGACTAACAACAGTTCGAGTAGTCTTGGCAATGTGTGTTACATTGAACTTACATCTAGAGTAGCTAGATGTTAAAACAACTTTTCTTCATGGAAATCTTGAAGAAGAAATTTACATGCTCCAGCCTGAAGGTTTTGAAGAAAAAGAAAAGAAGAACCTGGTTTGCAGGTTGAACAAATCTCTGTACGGTCTAAAGAAAGCTCCGAGGCGTTGATATAAGAGATTTGATTCCTTCATTATGTGTCTTGGATACAACAGACTTAATGCAGACCCTTGTGTTTATTTCAAGAGGTCTGGTGATAACGATTTTGTTATATTACTGTTGTATGTGGATGACATGTTGGTTGCAGGACCCAACAAAGATCATATTGAAGAATTGAAGGCACAACTGGCTAGGGAATTTGAAATGAAGGACTTGGTTCTGGCTTTTGAGTTCATTTTCTCTGTTTGAGAGAGCTCCTTGACCTGGGCTCTCAACGCTTATATGCTTGTGGTATAGTGCAGTTCGTATTCGTATCAAGCTGCGGTCAGAAAACAAGATTCTAGGGATGCAAATTCACCGAGACAGAAGTAATAGGAAGATTTGGCTTTCACAAAAGAATTACTTGAAGAAGATCTTGTCACGATTCAGCATGCAAGATTGTAAGCCAATTTCTACCCATATTCCTATTAACTTCAAATTATCCTCCAATATGAGTCCTAGCAGTGAAGAAGAGAGGATGGAGATGTCTCGAGTACCGTATGCATCAACAGTGGGAAGTTTAATGTTCGCTATGATATGCACAAGACCAGACATTGCACAAGCAGTGGGAGTGGTTAGTCGGTATATGGTGAATACAGGCAAAGAGCATTGGAATACAGTAAAGAGGATCCTGAGATACATCAAAGGGACCTCAAATATTGCATTATGTTTCGGAGGATCAAACTTACTTATTAATGGGTATGTCGATTCTGACTATACAGGGGATTTGAATAAAAGCAAATCTACTACAGGATATGTGTTCAAAGTTGATGGTGGAGCTGTAAGCTGGGTTTTAAAATTGCAGTCAGTTGTGGCTACGTCAACAACAGAAGCATAATATGTAGCAGCTACACAAGCCAGTAAAGAAGCAATTTGGTTGAAGATGCTATTGGAGGAGCTTGGACACAATCAAGAGTATGTCTTTTTGTTTTGTGACAGTCAAAGCGCCTTGCATCTAGTAAGGAATCCAGCATTTCATTCAATGACAAACACATACGAGTTCAATGCCATTTCATTTGTGAAAAGGTGGAAGAAGGGACGGTAGTTATGCTGAAGATCCATACCAAAGACAACATAGAAGATTTCATGACGAAGGTGATCAACGTTGATAAATTTATCTGGTGTCGATCCTCCTATGGCCTGTTAGAGACGTAAGCAACATGAAGGTACCAGGTAGAAAGAATGGTGTGAAGATATGATTGTTCCAATCAAATCTTCAAGTGGAAGATTATTGAAAGTCAAAATTCACAGCTACATTAATGGTCTTATTTTGCTGCACATGGGGCGGCTGAATTCAAAGTTGGCTGTCAAAATTAGGCGCATGAAATTGTTGAATTTCATGGATGGTTAAATTGTATATTTTAGTAATTGTAATTTAGGATATTTACAAATTAGTCCTTAAGTTTCAACTATAAATACCCTAGCTCATTTACCTTCAAAACCATCCAAAACATTCTAGTTTTCTTCCAATACTAGAGAGAATTTAAAGAGTTTCTTGAGAATTGTTTTCTTCTTTTTATCAAAGGAGAATTATCATTGTTTTCTCCTTGGTAGATAGAGAGAAGTTGTAATTCCTATTTTCTCATAGTGAAATTCTTCTACCGTTGCCTGTGGTTTTTACCCTATATTATTTAGGGGTTTTCCACGTAAATTTTGTGTCTCTTTTATCTTCATTTTTATTTTCTCAAATTATTAGTTGCGATTTTTCTCTATCCGATAGCTGTCTTCCGCAACAAGCGTGAGTATAAGGATTATATTTAAGATTTTCAAATTTTAAGTTCTTTTTAAGATTTTCAAAAAGTTTGGTTATTTTCAAAATTATTTAAATGTGACACGTATTTTTTAAAGATAAAGTTTAACGATCATTACGACTGAACACCTAAAATAGTAACGTTTGTAACGATAAACACCTGAATGAATCAGGAAAAAAATTAGGCACCTATTTGAAAAAACGATATAGTTGGAAACTTATTTTCTAATTAAGCCTATTAATGATGTTAGGAAAAAGGATAAATTATGTATTTATCCATCTGATATTTTTATAATTCTATTTGGTCACACTATTATTTAAAAAAATCAAACTTAGAGTTATGTTCCAATCTCGTTTTGGTCATTCGTCGTTAAAAATGTTAATATGATAACTTTACATTTTTTAAATGATGAAATGATATTATATTGTGGTGACTCAACACTATCATCGTTAATTTTTGACAGTGATTATCTTAAACGTAACTTTAGGTATGATTTTGAAAAAAGATAGTTTGATGACCCAGAAAAACTACAGAAATAATCGGGTGACTTAATCCTTAGTTTACCCAAGAAAATATAAGAAATCTCATCTCGTTTGTGTGTGCAAATACTGCACGTTTCAGTTTTTCTTCCCTTTTAAGCTTCTGCTTGTGCTTCGCACACCATCTCTCTCTCTCTCTTTGTTTTTTTTCTATGCGTTTTTCTTAAGTGAGAACTGAGAAGCCTGGCTCTGTAATTCTTTGCCATGTTTTCGCCTTGTGGTTCTTTGGGTCAGCCCTTATTTTCTTCCCTTTTGTAAGCTTTTCATAGTTGATGAAAACGTTAATGGAGGTGAAGGGTCACCCAATCCATTAGTAACTTCTTTAAATTCTCACATTTTTAGACCAACTTTGTTTAAAACCCTCTCAAAGCTCGGAACTCGGACGCCATTGGTGATCTTCAAAAGCTTGAAACTTTAAGCCTCTACTCAAAACTCCAAGTTTCGGCTTCTGTGTCTTTCCAAAATGTCATCACTAGAGCTGTCCCACATGGATTTAGAGCAAGGGACTCCCCGCTGGAACGGGAGTGATGTCAGCGCCGACGAGGCCAGCGTCTGCTTCTCCGACGCCGACGACGGTTCTTGCTACTCTCAGTTCTATTCCACCACAGGCGGTTCCTACGACGATTACAGCTTCGCTTGCGGTTCAGACGGCGAGATTGGTGATGTTTCCGGTTCTGGGAGGGTGTCGTCTGTCTCCGATTGTTCGGTGGAGATGCAGATTCAAAGCGGAGCTAATGAAATCAAAGTGCATTTGGCTAAAGCCGAGAAGAATTGTAGAATATGTCATCTGGGTCTAGAGAGTAACAGCCATGAATCCGGTGTTGCAATTGAATTGGGTTGTTCTTGCAAGGATGATCTTGCTACTGCTCATAAACACTGTGCTGAGGCTTGGTTTAAGATCAGAGGAAATAAGTAAGTACAATACAATCCCGATTTGACCTTTTCATGGATCATTGTTGAGATTTCTATGTATTTTAGGTGTTGGACTGTTAGTTTTACTGTTACAAGGTGAAAATAGAAACTTGCTTAATTGGAAAGAAAGTAGTAGGATGGATATTACGTTAGTAAAACAGGTTCAAAGTAAAGATAAAGACTTGTATTTGACTACTCCGACGATTCTTTGATGTTATTTGCTTTTTTATTAGGTTTAGGAATCTCTAGCTTTTGTTGTTTTCTCCTTTATGCTCTCTTTCCATGTAGGAAAGTGGTGGGATTTGACCCCTTTTGTTGATGCATTTTCTAATCTTTGGTGGAAGATCATTGTTTGGTCGTGCATCACTTTGGATGTTTTTAATTCGCAAAGACAGATTCTGGAGTTCTTGCTTGACATGATTTGGGGTATTGCTGATAATTTAGGTACCAAACCATTTGTGCAAGAAATTCCTTGATTCTAGACTTTTATCAGATTTTGCATCGTCGTCTCCTGTGCTTCGCGCATATCTTGTTCGGTGTCCTGTTTTGGTGAAACGCTTGTTGATACAATGACTACCGTGATCGCGGTGGGCCGAATGGTTTTTCGTGTTTGTTTAGCTACTGTACCGTCTAGGATTCTGGTTATGTGGTTGATTGCCCCCTCATTATTGACCTTTATAATTGATTAGATAGGATCTGAAATTTCTAACAACCGATTAGATTTACAGGTTTTGGATTAGAATTTACAAGGTATCCGTGTTATCCGCAACGTATTATCTGTAACATATGCAACCAAGTAATTTCTGATGTATTTTCATATGAAAAAGAGCCGACCTTTGGAATCGATGAAGAATGTCAGCTATGATATCCGAGTTAATGTGTGACTGTTGAAACCATGAATGATTTGTTATCCAGACAGAGGATCATGGTTTATATAAGTAGTAGCTTTAAGCATTTAGCTAGAATGGATGGTGTAATGATCGAATATCGAATTGTTAAATCTGTAGTGGTTCGTTGTTGGTTCAGTTTCAACATCGTTAGTCCATACTCTTACCTCTGATGGCATATTGGATCTTCCTTGTACTCGATTTTGTTTTTGTTTTCGAATTATAGTACCTCTCAATGCACTCATTCATTCTGCTTGATTCTTTTAGGACCTGTGAAATTTGTCATTCTATCGCACGCAATGTAATTTTAGCGAACGAGATAGAGTTGATGGAGCAACCAAACGAGACCAACAGCTCCACTGCTACAGCTGCAGTCTCGGGAGCAGCATCCTATTCAGACTCCCGAAGCTTTTGGCACAGCCATCGCTTCCTCAACTTCCTCCTTGCTTGCATGGTGTTTGCGTTTGTCATATCATGGCTCTTCCACTTCAGCGTGCCATCATCCTGAAACTTATATCTGTGCACGGTTGAACAACGTCGAGAAGAATGAAAAATAAAGAAACAGAATTTACTGTAAAGGGGCCTGGGAAACTTGTTGCTGTGATGATGGGGAAATGGAAATACGAATTATATACACCTCTCTTCTCTATACGTGTAGAAAGCTTGTTATACTGTGCACATTCATCTTAGCTACCGAAGCTTTTGATGTTCTTGGAAGAGCCCTTTAATGGTTATGCTCGGATTTGCACAACCGTTTTTGCTCGATTGTTGTTGTTCTACCAGATTCACGTTTATCCACGGTCGTGATTTCAGGAAAATATCATTCCAGCATTTATAATTATAATGGGAAATCTCAACAAAATCTCAAAAAAAAAAAGTGATAAATATTGAAGAATTCAGCAATGCAGCGAAAACCCAGAATAAACAAGAGCCAGAAGATAAACTATGGGGAGAAAAAAGGAAGATAAATATATGAAACAATATGAAAACCTATACAAATTTCAGCTTTTGGCCCTTTTGGCTTCCATGTTGGTGCCATCTCTGAGGGTTTCTTGGGCATCAGTTTCCATCCCTAGGCTAAACAGGCAAGCTGCTTGTAAATACAAAGCAGTTGGCCATTGCGGCGACACGACCTGCGCTTGCATCGCATCCCCCAGAGCCTGTTGTGGCTTATCATTCATCAAGTAAGACAAGCAGCGTCTGGCGTATACGGTCGGCGACACTATGATCCCGCCATCAATGAACTACATAAGATACACAGCAATCTTCAGGCTATATATCATGCTGTTTAAACCTTCAAACTATATCTTTCTTGTATGGCATTAGTACCCTAGTTGTTAAATGCAAAGACAATTACCGAGAAAAACCAAAGCCGATCGAAACCTTAATGTTTGGTCGCTACCGATAACCTTACAGAAAGTATATAGATTTGAAAAATGAGTAACTCACCTGTGTGTAACGGTCAATTGCGGTTGCAAAATCCTTGGCTCGAAAAGCGGTATCACCATGTTTCTTGGAGTTCAAGGTTTCCTGCATTTGGCTGGTCCACATTTGAAAAGAAAGCTGAAAGGAACAAGGGAATTTGAATGCAAATTACATGACAAATCATGTAACATCAACAGTGTAATAACAGAAGCACTCAAAACAATCAAAGCAGACAGTAAATGATCCTTTGCTTGCCGGTTGCCCTTTGAGCCATAACATATGGATTTCAACAAATAATTGGGGCGCTGGATTCAGAGTCTCTTGTTAAACAAGTTATGCTGAAAATGACAAAACGAACATCGTATCTCGAATCTCATAAAAATAGAATATCGACGACGGAGCAGCGAACCTCATTAGCTATTCCCTCATCGTCTTTGTATCCCATCTTCTCCAATATTTCATGTATAGCAGTCAGGTCAATCCTCATGCAAGCCTCTCCAAAAGGTGTCAACGACAAGGGCTGTTTCGAAGCAGTTCCATGCGGAACACCCATCAACACATATGATGGTACCTAGCAAAATTCCATCCGATGAGAAACTTAATTGTGCTTACAAAAGATGAATCTGTAATAATGAAGGCCATGGAGTTGGGACGGTACCAACTGCTCAAAATGATCAGTTAAAGAGTATGAACTTGGATATTCAATGAATCGGCAATTATATGTACCTCTGCTTCCTTCTGAACTGACATGAGAGATACGACGAGAGATTTCGCGTTCGGCCTCTCACGGGCTTCGTACTGCAAACAGCGAGTAGCTAACCGGACTAACTCTGTTCCGTCGTCGTTCGAGAAATGGCCTTCCAAAGCAGAATCCATCAACATGAGAAAATTCTTGCCGCGGATCAAATCAAGTGCCTATAAACAGAACAGGCAGACTTCAATACCATACGGATTAATTCAATGTGGTCACACCAACATCACATCTTCATTTCGGAACTTTTAGACCAACAACAAGGTTTACCAATGATCACTAAATTACACCAGCATGCAGTTATTGCAGTTCACAATTCCAAGCTTTCTCTAGCAGTACCATAAAGATCCTAATAGCAAAAAAAATTAAGGATATTACTATGATAAAAGAGAATTTACATGGCTGGGAGGAATATGTTTGCCACTCATAAGATCTAGCAGCAAGGTTCCGAAGCTATACACGACACTTTCCGGCGTCACTCGACCTGCCGGAGAAGCACAACGTCCAGACTTTGAGATTCGAAGTAATACAATTCTTAAATGTGAAGAATAAATGAATCATTTGAACACATTTAACCTGTTCTAAGGTATTCAGGAGGTGTAAAAGCCAAGTTTGTACTATAACTCTTCCCATCTCTGCTGTTCTTCATGAGCCCAAAACAAGACAACCTGGGATTACCATCCTTTTCACCAGAAGAAGAAAAAGAAGCCAATTCAGAAACCATGATCAAAGGGTCATTTGATTTCACAACCAAAATCTTCATGAACTTGATAAAATTACATCATCAAACAGAATCCTATAAGCATTGAGATCATGGTACAAAGCTCTCCCTTTACAGCTACAGTACTCCAGCGCTTGAGCCAAATAGAGTGCCACCCTCAACCTCATTGCCCATTTCATTGGCCGATTTTCCCCTGACAAAATTAAACCAAGCTTCACTTTGAGTCTAATGGAAAAAATATGCGTAAACTATGTTTGGTACTTCAACAATTTCTTTCACCCAATGTAGTTTACACAAAAAAGACTACTGACTTACAGTGAAAAAGATGCTTAGCCAACGTTTCATTGGGCATAAACTCGGCGACCAACAATCTGTCATCGCCCTCACAGCAACAACCGATAAGATTCGCCAACCGCTCACTCCTTAAACTCCCAACAGCTTTGGCTTGCTCCTAAAAGACGTGCAATTTTCAAAAAAGTAATCTTTACTCGGTAAAATGATCAAATAGTTAGAGATAAAACGGACGAGGAATTGGCGAGAATCGGGCCAGGCGAACTTGTTGAACCGTTTAACGGCAACCTGACGGTCATCGTCGAGCTTCCCTTTGTAAACAACGTTCGGAGCTTTTTCACCGTGTTCCGACACTATGTTGTCGGAAGAAAAGCCGGACGTAGCAGCTTTGAGTTGCTCCAAGCTAAACTCGGTGAAACTCGGCCATGTGTTCTTCTCACCTTTGCCACCATTCTCTGCATTTAATTACAGTTTTTACACTGAAAAAAAAAGAAATCTTTTAAAACAAAGAGCCAAAGACAGAAAATATAGTACCGAGATCGGATGATTCGAGGACGGAAGCTTTAAGGTGAGAGTGAAACCAACAGATGGAGAATTTAGAACAACGAGCTCCCATTTTCTCTTCTTCTTCTTTCTTTAAAGCCAAACGACCAAAATTCAAAACTTTGTCTTCTAATGGATAATATCAAAATTCAAAACTTTGGACAAGATCATAGTTTGGTTTGGTCATAAGAAAAACACTGACGAGGGAAAGAAGATTTATGAGTTAGTTTGGTCTTGGATTTGGTAAAGTTGCATTAAGAAATTGACCCATTCACCATTTTTGGGGTTTAAATAATTGAAGGAAAAAAATGCAGTTTGGGTTCAAATCCGATGCTTGATTTGTTAAAAAAAAGTGATATATTTATGCATTTTTATTCTACAAGTTTTTAAAGTATCACGTCTTGCATGACGAATCCACCATGGAAACACGTAGAATGTGCATGATCATCTGGAAATGATTGTTACTATTTAAGAAAATTTGAAAATTATAAAACTCCATTGATGACACTGTAGGAAATGGTGGAAAAAAAATCATGCGATCATTGACAATGAAGCCAAGTTGTCGTCTAATTTAATTTGACTCATCAAACCTCATGCGTTTTTTCAAAAAAAATTCCTTCTTTTTCTCAGGAAGGAATTTCAATAAAGTCGGAGAAACCATAATCAAAGGAAAAAAGGTGGATAGCTTTTTCTTTTAAAGATATTATATTACAGGGTCTATAATTACCTTCCAAATATATTGAAATTAAAACAAAACATTCATCCCCAACGGCGGAGGGATAAATATAAGAACAAAAGAATCGAAGGGTCTAATGTCTGACAGGTGGTGACATAATTAGGCCACTCCCCACTTAGGGTTCAAGAGGACCCCTTTAAGCTTTTTACAGGGCAAAAGGAGAAAGTGGTCGTTATTCAGACATGCAACCAACAATGATGGGAAAAAGTTGCAATCTTTCTTTCTCTCTCTCATGGCCTCCTGCAGGACAAAATCACTGCAATAATGATCTCTCAATTTATTTTCTCAAATAGAGCGATTTATAATATAATAAAAGACACATGGAGTATTTGACGTCTTGCGTAGAGGAGAATGACAGAAGACACCGGATCTTCATGAAGACAAAGTGCTCAGTGCGTCTTCTATGGGTAGTGTTTATTTCACCATGTTTCAGAAAATAATTCTGAAGACTATTGAATCACACATGCCATTGTTGTTGTTCTCCATACTCTTTCGCTTTATTGACCAAACTTTCAAAGCTTAAATTGCGCCCATGCATTGCTTTTTCTGGTCAGTCATCGCCACAGATAGTGGCTTGGCTACAAGTATCACGCCCAACAAGTATGGGGCCTCTTTGCTGTCAAGTTGTCGACTCAAGCACACCCCAACATGGGCAATCAACACACAGCCCCATAACTTTAGTATGGATAAGCTACAAATACAAAGCAATTCTCTGTTTTTATATTATACTGAGGATTCAAGTTCTGTATTTTAATCCATGATTCTCTAGGAAAAAAGAATACCTTTCCCGGCACATTATCGTGCCTTCCGAACGTATAAAAACAACTCGGACTTGGGGCCATTTTTAGTTGCAGGGTTAGAGTTTTTAAAGCCAGGCTACCCCATATGCAAACCTTTCTTAAAATGAAACACAAGGTTTTCTAAGTCAAAGTTGAAAGTCCTTTTCTCGACGGCCTTGTATTTCACTGATTGAGTAAAGATAAGTACTCCAGCAGCAATAGGAAGTTGAAAATTTCCATGATTAGGACTGCACAATTTTCAAGTGCACTAAGGTTCAGTTTTCTTGAGAATACAAATCAAATTTACCAGCCCAATTACAGTGATAGCAGTACTTTTCCATCATCTATGCACCATTCATTGCAGTAACATGGATTCCATTGGAATCCTCCTGAATCTTTCCATTCACTTGAGTTCTTGGCCTCTAAATAAATTAGAAGAAGATACATAAATACCAATCTATATTCGATATCGAGATGAAGGAACTCAAAGAATTAACAAATAAAATCACTGTACCAA